CTCGTTAGTAGGAATTCTATTTGTAAAATAGATCTTTAATAATCAAAGTTCATCTAGAATAATGTACATAATCTTCATTAGAATAATAATCTATAGGAAAATAGAAGTAAAAAGAGGAAGATAGTCTTTCGATTTAAGGCGGCGCAATTTAATTTTTCTAATCACTTGGAATAATTAAAGAAAATATCCAAATGAGTTTCTAATTTGATTAATAATTAATCGTTTTTAATATTTTAAATGATATAGAATATATTTATTCCTTATTAGTAATCTATCATATAGGGTGTCCAGTAATTCACTAGAGTTGGAGAAAAAAATTTGAATATTTTCATGAATCTTCAACCAAATGAGCTGAATTTTTTTTTGGAAGGTAGAGGACACGTAGCAGTTTTTATTCATAACAGAACAGGTTGTTTATGCGGATGAACTCAGCACACTTTTCTTCGCTATGTAAATAAGCTAGGCACAAACATTTGTTGTTCATAGTTATAACGCAATACTGTACGATAATCTTTTCTTTATTTATTAGGAAGCATAGTTGACATACAATGCGATATTATTAGTATGAAAGAAACTGTCCTTCGTTGTTCAAGCAGTCACGAAGACGTTGCACAACAGAGCGACATGCTTTGCGACACATTTCTTCGGGTATCTCTTCACAAGCTTGTTCAATTCTTTCTTGAAGTTCTGTAATAGAAGCGACTGGCTCTTTGAACACAATGTCCTTCAAATAGCCCCAAAGAAAGAAGTCACAGGGACTTAAATCTGGTGAACGAGCTGGCCAGTCGAATGGACCACGTCTACCTATCCATCGATCTGGAAATTTTTTATCCAGCCATTCTCGAACAGTAACAGAATAATGAGCTCCTGCTCCATCATGTTGAAAGTAAAAGTTTTTGTTCTTCAACCGAGGCCATGCATAATTAACCAGTATTTCTTTGTACGATGGACCAGTAACGGTATCATTGAAAAAATATGGACCAACGAGTCCATTAGAACTTATTCCGCACCAAACCATAATTCCTTGTTGCGTATTTGGCATTTCAAACTTGAAGTGTGGATTTTCTCTGGCCCAGTAAGTGCAATTATGTCGATTGACGCTTGTATTCATATTAAATTTGGCTTCATCGCTCCAAAATATACTGTCGATTAGATTGGGATCTTCTTCGAATTTCTCGATCCATGATTCGCAAAATTCGCTACGACGATCGAAATCATCATCATTAAGGTCGATCACTAAGGTAGGACGGTAAGGTTTAAAGCCAAGTTGTTTCATTGCCACATGGTAACTGCTTTTGCTTATACCAGCTCGATCAGCACCTAAACGAATAGACAATTGTGGATTGCTAGTGGCTCTTTCTTCAATTTCGTCTAGTTTTTCTTCAGAGAGTACACTTGACGGTCGACCAATGTGCGGTAGATTTTCAATTGTTCCAAATTCATCAAACTTTTTATTGATTGACGAAATTGTGGTCAGATGAGGTGGAGTTGTATCAAAATAATTGGTCCATACTCTTTGTACGTCAGTTGCATTTTCAAACTTTGAAAAAAGTCGTACAATTGCGACTTTCTCATCAGTGGTACGAGTTGTATACATATTAAAGAATCGTAAGTGATATAACTAAAACTATGTACAGTATCACCACGTGGATTATCTTTCGTACCATTGTTTTTCGTCTTTTCTTTTCTTTATCTCTGAATATGCGTGCTTTGACTTACATGAATGATGCACGTATCGATACTTCTGTGTCAGCTATATGACTCAAAACGAAACAAAAAGTGAGATAACGGTCAAACTTAACAACTGATCTGATTTACGCACGAAAACACAATAGTAGAACTACTTTGAATAATAAGCAAGTCCTCATCATAGCTGACTGGCCTTCTGTTTAAGAAAAACGTGCTGAGTTCATCCGCATAAACGACCTGTTCTGTTATGAATAAAAACTGCTACGTGTCCTCTACCTTCCAAAAAAAATTCAGCTCATTTGGTTGAAGATTCATGAAAATATTCAAATTTTTTTCTCCAACTCTAGTGAATTACTGGACACCCTATATAAAAATATTAAAGTCAAATGAAAAATTTGTATGTAGATTTTCTTAACACCTACAGCCAAAATTTATAAAGACCCGGCCGTCAGAATCGATTTTTCTTTGTTGTTTAATTCTAGCTTTATGAATCTTATGATTGTTAAATTATTTAAACTTAATAAACAAATATATACGATTAAGATAAATGAGTAAAATCGATAAATATTATTTAAAACAAAAGAGATATAATGACTTTAGACAGAAAAATATATTCTGCCTTAGTTTATTATTAACTTTTTTACTAAAAGGATTATTTTTAAAATTTCTTCAGAAAAAAATGCTTGAGATATTTAATTTATTTTATTTTCTTTAAACTATTAAGTATATATATCTGTTTTAATTCGAATAATTATGAAAAGCAGTTGAATCTGATTTGAATTTCAATAGAAATTCTCTAAACAATAAATCAATCTAGATTGATTGTTGATGGCAACAAATTTCGATCAATATAGACAAATGTAATTGAAATGTTTTGTTTTGTTTTGTTTTTTTCTTGAATATAGAATAAAGCAATATTTTATGAATTTCTATGATTTGAAGTTGGAAGATGAAGACGTTTTCCCGAAACTAATGTTGGTAAGAAATCGAAAGTTTTCGATCTTTCAATTCGATTTTTTGATGATGAACGATGATGACGATAGAATTTTCGTATTGTTTGTGTTTGTTCATCAATTGAATTATTATTATTATTATTATTATTTGGAAGAATAAAATCACCAGATGATGAAATAAATCCACTTTGAATATTACCTTTTGATATAATTCGTTGTTCTTCTTCACTTTTATCAAATGAACAAGGAAGAGCTACTATCAAAACAAAACAAAACAAAACAAAATCAGCTTTTTATTTTAATGATAAATTAAAAAAAAAAGGTTTAACCTTGTTGAGTCGATCGACCAGTTTTTAATGAAGAATTTTGTTCTTAGATATTTATTTAGGGAGAACTTTCAAAATTTTTTGAAGAAGAAAACTCAATTGGTGTTACATTTAAACCAAATGTTGCCTTAATATCATCACTTAATTGATATTGATCATTATTCACTAATTTATTATTTATTGTTGCTTGACTAGGTGTTCGAGTTATGAAAAATTGTTGCCATTTATTGTATCGTTCAATAATTAATGTTGGATCTATAATTGAAGTTGTTTTAGGTGGATAATTTTGATGTTTTATTTCTACTAAAGGTATTCTTATAAGAGTTCGTTTATTATTTATATTTGTTGTTTGACGAGTAAATAAATTTGTTAATTGTTGTTTTAATAATGATTTTAATTTTTCTCCATTAACTGATTGATAATTTTGTTGATGAATTTGTTTTAATTGATTTTCTGGTAAATAATATTGACTTTGAACTTGACGAAGTGATAAACGAACTTTATTTGATGATATTTCATTTGATTTTGCTAAAAATAAATGAATGAATGAATTATTTATAAAATAAAATAAAAATATTGATAACTAACATTGTTGAATAGATTTTGAAAATTGATTATCTTCTGTTGATGATAATTGGTCATCTGATGAAGATATATTTGATTGATTTTCTTCTATTAAAAGTTTTTTTTCTTTTTTAAATAATTTTCGAAGACGTTCTGGAAGAAAATCATTTCTTCTTCTTTTAGAATAAAATAAATCATTTTCAAGTGATTTTTCTTGCAATTTATCCTTTTCATATCGAGGTAAATAAAGACCAACATCACAATGAAAATCTAAATAATCTTGTTGATATAAATGACTTTTTCGAATTATTTCTGATAAAGACCAATGATCAAGACCATCACTCCATTCACTTATATTAACAAAACGATGAAAATATTCGGATGATTTATTCGAACTTTCAATTAAACGTTTTGTTAATGATTGATCATTCGATAGAGAACAATTCGAAACCATTAAAACAATATTTCAACAATAACAAAATCAATTTCTCATCGAGTAGTTTTCATCAAAATAAAAACACACTTTTTTTTTTTCTTTTTTCGATTCACTTTTTTAACAATTGGAGAAACATTCTTAACCAATCCTACTAACAAAACAATTTAACTACCTGACTACAAGAATAAGAATTTTTTAAATTGAAAAAGTTTATACTAAATTTAAACATATCATTATTATAATGAAAAATCTGCAAACATTTTTATTTCGATCATATTAAGTATTCTAACAAAACAACAGAAGATTTTATTCAATCAGATCATTTTTTTTTTTCTTATAAATTATTCTTATTATATTAGTTAAAAGAATAAAATATTTTTTCTTGTAAAAATCAAATGAATACATTTTTTAATTCTTTTCAATAAATAAAATCAATATGTTTAAGATTATTGATTAAAAAGATCTGTTTGATAAAATTGTCAAGATACATCTATTGAATAATCTTCAACAGATGACATTCCATAAACAATTGAGAGGATTCAAATCAGAGCTACCAATATTGCCAACCGCCTTCCAGAACATAAAACCAGGCCAAAGTTCTTACTCTAGCTTTTACAGTTTGGACGAGCGTCCAACTACAAAATTTCACCATTTTGGATATCCTCTCAACATTAATCTTCTTACGATAATAATAGGAAACATCAATCAGAAAGAGATCATACCACCATCAATTTCACAATAGAAATCATTCATGTAGAATTTGATTAGTATACATGTTAACTTGGCTTGTCATAAATGGTATAATTTCGACCAAAAATCTAATTAAAATAAAGGTTTTTCACTAAAGAATTCCTCACATAATACCATAGCTCATATCTACGACTTTTATTTCAATATTTATGATTTCAAGTTAACATTTTTACCGCTCATCCCAACCAAAATATTCACATTCCAGAAAGTGATACGGAAAATCACTTACTGTAAGTTTTTCAGACTGAAGATTTAGCTCTTCTACAATAAATGTGAACTAGCGGTAAGTACAAAAGCAAACTATTGGAAAAATCAGATAACTGCACCATAGATATGTCACCAATTAATAGAACATATTTTAATTTCATTTCGAACTCCTCTACGTATTTTTCTTCTATCTATATTTTTTTGAACATAAGATATGAGGACTCTTCAAGAGTGTTGTATTATGCTTTCTATAGTGAAAAAATGATCATGTTCACTAAGTTTTTGCTTTTCTCACGATTTTCTCAATATTTATAGTTTCATATTAATTTTCTGCTCTACAGTAACATGTTTTTGACAGTAAGATCATAAATGTAGAGAGTATATAAAAAATAGGGATTTTTTTGAGTCGGACATTGTTGCATAATATTGGAGAAATTGATTATAAAATGTAAATGTCTTTATCTGTTATGATAAGTGTCACATTAATCTCCAAATGTTTTCTTTTCTAATATTTCTTTTACTTCTTCGTTGTATGCCTAATAATATGTTGTTTGTGTTATGTTTTAATTTGCTATTTTATAGAAGATCTTGGATTTACAAAAATAAATTAACTGAACTAAAAAACAATATAAAATAATCGATTAAAGTAAACTAATGCCAATAAGCATATTCAAAAAATGAAAATCATCAATCAAACTAATTTGTTCTGAAATACAAGCCATTTTAGGATATAGATCACTTGGTCATGTTCAACTTTGTATGTAACCATTATGTTTCAGACTAAACCAGGTTAAAAAAAGTGAATTCTTAGCAATCAGAATAAATTCTATTTGAGAATATATATGATTATTTGTTTGCATAGACGATGCTGATGAACTTTAATTTAACAAAATAAAAGTAAGTTTCGTTGAATAAATAGATTGTTTGGAGATAATTTCTCCAAATTTGATATTGACAAAGATAATTGATTAATCAATATTTTAGATTTATTCAATGTCTAACCTAGTCGAACATGATTAACTAGAAGAAAACATTTTTTTTTAAACAAAATACTAAAATAATTCATTCTGAATTGTTCTCAAAAACAACTATTATATTTTATTTAAAAAAATATAAAAACAATTCACTTAAAACATAAGGACCTTAGAAAATACTAAAAAAACAGTTTTAAAAAAAACCTTATGATAATTATCCTTTTCTTTGTTGTTCCTCAAATTGATTTAAATCAATCAGTTAATATATGAAATCATGTCAAGGAAATAATTTTAAGATGAAAAATATAAATATATAAATGTATAATAGTAATTCCATAGGATGAATATTTTCAATGATAAATAGATATTAATTATATTATTTAAAATACGTTGATTATTAGAGAAATAATTAAACATAACGATCTATTAAACATACGTTTTTTTTGTTCAAGAGAATATTTTCAAACTGAATTGTTAACTATTAATTAAATAAATATATATATTTTAGATAAAAAGATGCATTTTGTTTTTAATTAATTATCTATCAATAAGTTAAACAGATTATAAATAAATATGATTAAATTATTTCTCATATCAGAGAATTTAAACAAGTCAATTTAATGTTAATGATTATTATCATTTTAAATTCAATGATTAACATTAAATAAATAATTTATTCAAATAAAATATCACTAAATATAATCATTATTAACTATTGAAATAGAAATATTATTTTATTGCTCACTATCATACGAAACTAGATCAAATATCCATTAATTAATCATTTTCGGTCACATCTATATAGGAAATGTATCCTTGGCAATGATCATTCCTATCGGTGTCAGTGGTATTATTTGCTTATTTAATTAATATAGTATATTATCAAAGCATTATTCAACAATATTGACGATAAGTTTTATCATAATTAATAAAAAACACTACACAATGTATATATATATATATTAATAATCAACAAATATATTTGTAATATGTTAAAAATGTTCTTATTGATCATTGTTATTCACTATTAGGGGTGTAAGCCGAAGGGTCAAACAGTGACGGCACCTGGTGGACTTTATGTTTGTCAGCACTGGCGGCCGCTTTGACAGTCAAAAACAAAAAAAAAACATTTTTGCTCGTAAAAGACGAAAAAGTGATCGATCACATATGTATCGATATCAATGGTGACGGTGTCTTATATTATTATCAAAAATTTTCGTTCGTGAGAGCGGCTCCTAAAGAATTTTTAAAATTATCTACGATTTCGTGACGACTCAGCCGTATGGCTTACATCTCTATTCACAATAAGAAATAAAACTGATAAATTTCTAAATTGTTTTTCATAATTCTTATATTTATTGATATTCTCTCAGAATTTATTTAATATGAATTAAATAAAATTTAAAAATTCTCAAAAGTTTTTTCGAATGATTTTTATTTCAAATATGATTGACATTGACATATAATATTTATTGAAAATAGATTTCAAGATAAAATAATATCATTTAATTAAATATATATAGTTAACAAATTATAATTAGTCAATACATTTATTTATTTAATTAACTTATTCTTATGTGAAATTATTTGTTTAAATAAATAATTTAAAAACACAAGAAATTATCTGAATGGTTCAATCTTTTAATCACTATTATTTAAACATCTTCAATTATTTATCAATTCAATCAGAATATATTTTGTGTCTTACCAGTTTTTAATGTAAAAAACTAAAAAAAAATTTTATATTTTTTTTTAAACACAGGGTGAATACATTATACTGATTTCGAGAAAAAAAACTAGAATCTGTTAAAATTATTACAAATATGATCTATCTGAAGCTTGATTATTATTGAAAATAAAGTTAATATGCGTGTATATATATAGTCGACAATTTGAAAGACGCTTGACTAAAATGAAAAAAAAGAACGAAGAAATAAAATAAATAAAAAGGTTTGATATAAAAAAAATATTTCTGAATATAATTGATCAATCAGTATTGATTGATGATAGTCGTTCAGCTTTTTTATCAGCTGGACCTTCTTGTTGAGATCTTTCTTGTTCAACATCAGATTCAGCTCGATTTGTGTTTTTATTTTCACTTTGATGACGTTGATCTAATAGAAAAAGTTTTCAAAAAAAAAAACGAAAGCAAAAGAGAATTCTCAATCAATGTTTTTTAATCTTAAGTATTCGAGTTATATGTTTATCTGTTTTCGAGTGAAGAATATGTGAAAAAGAAACAGATGTGAATTTACTTATTTGTTCATTTTTTGAATATTCGCTTTTTTCAGTAGGCTTTGATGATGCACCAGGAGTTTTTCCAGAAGAAGATTTCTCAAATAATACATTTGATGTACTTAAACTTTGACAAGGAATATATTTTACATTAATCGATCTGATTCTCAAAAAAGGACGAATTAATTTAACAAGCATATTCGTTTCAGTTTCTTATCTATAAAAAAAAAAAAAATTCTTCTTATTATTAAAAAATAAAATAAATAATTCTGGCACAAATCATAATCAATATCAATAAATAACAGACAAACAAAAACGAATAACTTTCGATGGTACATTTGCTTTAAATGATAATTGCGTTTTATTTTATTAAGGCGAAAAACAACTAATCTAAATGGTTATCTAATTTAACCAATAAAATGATTTCTCGCTGATAAAGAAAACTTAGTTTAACAGATAAAACATTAATAGACTAATCAGATCATCACTTATCGGGTTTTTTTCTTTTCAAAAAAAAAAAGATTTCAAAAGTTTTTTATAATATAAATCTCGTTTAATCAGTATCTAAAATCTATTTATTAAATTTGTTTAGGTTTTATATTTATTTTATTGATTCGACTCGATTTTCATCAAGAATCAATCTTTAAATATTTAACAAAGTTTTAAAGATATTTATCAACGATTTATTTTGATATAGAAATTTCCAATAAAACATGTTTAGTTCTATAAATAGATAAATAAACCCGATTTTATTAAGCAAAATCAGAAGAAATATATGTTGCTTCTTTAAATAGCAATAAAAAAAAACGAAAATTAAAAGAATTTCTTCAATTTTCTTACAGCTATTCTATA